ATTTTCAGAAGATTTTTAATAAAGTTCAATATAAAATATTTATTCTCAAATTACAGGCAAAGAGAATGTGTGTTTGTATTGAGAATTATTTAATAAATAGAGAAAGGAAATAAGATAAGAGTCAAACTGCAGTGATGTCATTATTGGAGTACCACAGAGATCTGTACTAGGACTGTACTAGGACTAGGTAATTTATACCAATGATCTCTTCATTATACCAAATTAGTTGGATTAGCAAACCCTGTGGAATCATCAAACAAAATTAAAAACATTAGAAATTAATGGACAAACACCTGGCAGATTGTGGTTGTTTGTTGTTATGTTTGGCAGATACTGTTGTGAAGAGAATGATTGAGCCAGATGGACAACAGACAAGAGAAAGAAAGAGACAAAGTAAAAGATGAGCAAGAGAGTGAGGAGCTGGATTAAACATGTCAGTCAAGGACATGAGAGGGGAAGCTTTTCTTACAAGATCAAGTATCTTATATTTCTCATCACAGTTGTGTTTGATGTGTTTGGATCTGTAGCCCTGTGTGGAACTGAATCCCACTTGCTCCCAATCAATATCATGATCCCTCCTGCAATATTGATCCACACCATCTAAAAGGGGAACTGCAGTCCCAAATTCTTAGACTGGGTTTTAAATATCCGTAACAAAATAAACTGATAGTATCTTAAAATTTCTAATTTCAAATTAAGTACACAATCATGAACTCTGTGGAAGTACTGCATGGTTGCCATGTTGTCGAAAGCAGACGAGAATCAGCTGGTCTCACCAAGGGCGAGAGCAAGATTTTGGGCAAATTGTGCCATAAACCCTGCCATTCCTGCTCACTAGTTGCTGCAAGTGAACAAAAAATGAAATGAAAATAAATATGAGTGTGTTTTAGTTGGTTGGCAGGTTTCTTTTTTGCAATACTTAAAGGAAACTAAAACATGTTGTCTTGTGTGTGTCGGTTTAATGAAATTATTTAGAATTAACATAGTAGCAAAACTGACTTGGCCTAGAGCATGCCTCATTCTGAATCACAGACAATGATGGCAATATGGCACTACACATACATTGACACTTCATCTGTTTTGTGATGTAAACTGGAGATTTTAATGATACATGTTAACTTGTACTTGGTAGTTTCCTTATGATTTGAAATGCACTCATCATTGCAGATTCATTATAATCCCAAAATGTAAAAAAAGCATCGTAGTTCCCCTTTAATATACAGATCAAGCCATTGAAAAAGTGCAGAGTATGCTGCGTCAAAACACGGTGAGCGTGGCGCATCATACCAGTACGATGCATTACTGGGGAGGATTGGGAGGCTAGAGGCACTCCTGAAAATGCAGAGGAAGGAGACAGTATGTTCCGGCAGTCAAACAGTTGAGCAGCTGTCTCCTGATAAGTGCCTCTCCCCGCCGCGCAGGTTGCAATGCCTGGCAGAAGCTCTGCCCCCCACAGAGCACACAACGCCTCAGGACACTCCATCCCGGCCTCTCCGCTCACCACCGCGCAGGAATTTGTTGATGCTGTCCCCGCTGTCTATCTCCCCCCAGGAAGCACCGTTCACAGAGCGGAATTCACAGACGCCAGTGGGACGAATAATTCTCCCAGATATCCAACTGCTACCCATCACTCAGGAGATGGAGGGGGGGTTGTACTTGCAGTGCATCGGCATAGACGGGAAAGCAAGAGCCGACCGCTACGCCGCCCTCGTGTTTCGATATCTTGTGACTTTTGAAATTTACTGGGGGTGGACAACGTCTGTAAATTTCGATGGGTCCAGAGGCAAAAGTGCCTTGCCTTGCAATCTCCGGGGAAACCATTAGTCGCATGGTGAATTGGAGATTCTCAACTCTTACTTCGTGCGACTGGAAAAGAATTCGTGATCGGATCAACGAAATGCTTCGTACAAGGAGGCGCTCTTTTCCTCTAGTCTAACAGTCTGTCCACAAACAAAACATTCCTGTTAGACAAGAGGAATTGAAAAAAAAACAATTTTGTCAATGGAAACCGGTGTGTGTGTCTCTCTCTGCTGGATGTCCCTCTCACTCCCTGCTGAATGAATAAAAGCATTTTATTAAAAACGCGTTTGCGTTTGTCTGGTATTTACTTTGGTTCACTTTTAACTGTTTTTCGATCTACTGTATTGCTTTGAGATGCCACTTTTAAAGGTGATATGTAAAATAAAGTTTTTTATTATTGTTATAGAGGAACATGATCAGATTTTCACTGGTTCAGAAAAAAAGATCTAAAGTGCTACACCTAACATTCTTAATTCGATATATTTAAAGCAGTGAACTACTGTAGGTGTAACATAACATTCAGAAATACAATCAAGAATAGTTTTGTGGTGTTTGTTTAGATGAAACGTTCCTAAAACGCATAACGTAACAAAATTAAAGACGATTAAAATCTGTAATCTTTCCACTTGTACCGTATGTCATCGGAAAGTTTCTGCTTTGTGTAAGGATGATACCAAAAAAGTAATCTTAAGTGGTGAGAAAGCTGTGCTCAATGTATTTAAGGGACTTAAAAGTAAAAGGAGATGCTTCATATTGCTTGACTAATTTTAAAAACTAGGTTATAAATGCAGACGCTCCCTCGGTGCCGCGCCGGGTGTAAATATCAAAATATACATTCGTCCCGGGCACAGGCCGAAGAGCGCCCGGCTGGGGTGCGCAGGGAAGGGCAGGACACTAGTTTAGGAAGGCGTACAGTCTGGGCAGGTATAGATTACACTTTTCTAAAACGTATTACAATCTAATCCTTCCACGTTTGATCCCAAAATCCCAAGAAATATAAATCTAAACTGGTAGAAAGCTATGCTGAAAGTTTATTAAGATACTTAGAAGACAAAGATACTGTATCAACTTATGTTGCATTAGCCTGATTATGATTAAAAAAACACATATAATTAAACACGCGTTTGCGATTTAAATCAGAACACGATTTAAATCAATATAAATGTTTATATTGTAACGCATCCTGTCCAGCCTCCATTTCTCCTATAAAAATTTACTCTGTTGCACACACACACACAATAGAAGAAGGAAGCAGAAGCAGGGACCGTTGTCAGAAGGGAAGAAGGTGACTATTCATTGTTATCAAAAATTACTTAGAATCGATCATGTTGCGATATTTTGAAATATAAAAGTCAATTGATTGTCCATGATATCGCTATTCTATTTTTTCGAAGAAATGTTTGTTAAAAGAAAAGTCCAGCACCAGCGGGATTTGAACACACAACCTGCAAGTTGTTAGCCAGGCACGTAGACCAGTAGGCTACAGGACAACTCGCATGAACAGGGAGGCGAAACAGCCCTACGCAGCCCTGTCGCAGTACACGAATATAATCATATCGTTATTAAATTCTTTACTGTGGATACGCGATTCCATATTATATTAGCAGAAAAGCTTAAAACTACCACTTTTTCACACGCTATTTTACATGCTAGTTAAATACTTCGATGCTTAAAATCGTTAGGGAGAAATGGAATACCGGTGTGTATTTTTCCTTTAAAGTACTGATTCCTGGAATCTGACTGGCTGACACCCTTCTGAAGTGGTAACATGAAATCTGGTATACGGAAAAGAAAGCATTGATAAAAAAAAGCCTGGATTCTCATGTATCTCATACAAGTATCTTTTAATATAGTCTTTGCTGTGCTCTTGAGGATCCTTGTGGTATTTTGAGCTCTAGTTGAATGATAAGTGTCGGATTTTAAATCATTTTCGTAGTTAGAAATTATGAAACGTCCTGTTAAAAGCAAGGGAGTTTTTATGCCCGTTGAAGTAAAACAAAATGCCTGTATGGCTTGGACAGATTCCAAGTGCTTGTACAAATGTGCTAAAGAAATTTTACTTTGAGTATACAGCTTGTCCAAAGTCATCCATTATTAATACTATTAGTAATATCTTCGGTAAAGGCTTTGATGCGTAAATATTTCTGATAAAGGTAGGTTGTGTACTTTTGTCCAACTGAGCAATCTTGCTTTCATAAAATATACCAACATTTTAATGACTGAAGATTAACATGCTGTAATACACTGTTCAAAATTAGAGGCTCAAATGCTGTACATGAGAGGTTAAGCTCCCCCTGGCGGTTTTACAAGGTGACGCCGGATAGTTTCCGGCAGAGCGTCAAATGACGCGCGATTAACCACGTGACACTGCGTGACACTGCGTGATACCGCGACACGCCCACCGGGGTATGCCGCAAAATAACTCACCCATTTTGAATGGCTGCATCTGTACATGGGTTCTGGTTTTAATGTGCTTGTTCTAACATTATTAAGTTTACATTCTATACTTCATAAAAAGTTATAACGTTTTATCCTTTTCTAAGAATAAGTAGTAAAAACACCACTTGCTGTTACTGTTAAAAAAAGTTGCTGTTACTGATTTAATACAACTTGATATTAATATTAATATGGAGCCGTGTAACTAAGCAGCTAAAATATATTGGAAACATATTTTGGACATTTTGGCATTCATTTTTTTTAAAGCTTGTATTGTTCTTATAGTGGTGATGGAGAACATACTGTACAGTATGTGAAACCGTACCATGACAGTGAAGATGTGTTACAAGTAAGCCAGTGACTGTTGTTTACTATGATGAGACGAGGTTGTGTAACTCTGCGGAAATTATTGTGTACACTGAAGAGTTATAGAGCAGACACGTTGTGAATCGCCTCATACACTTGTTAAAATGTTCCAATTTTGATGCGATACGAAATATATTATTAATAGTTGTAATAATGAATGACCTTGGACAGGCTATAAGCTCAAAGTATTACCGTGGTCCACCTTCTTTGTAACTGTCTGCATCAGTTTAACTCATTCACCCGTGATTACGCGAAAACATTATGCCTGCTCATTTCAGCTACAGCTGAAGTTGTTAAGCAGCGCATTGGTGTATTGGGTTAGGCGTGTGCCTTGTATGCTGGAAGTCGGGGGTTCAAACTAGCTCTCCATATGAGCTTTCTTTTAACAAATAAACAATTCTTTGAAAAACTAAAATAGCAAATATTGTAGACACTATATTGGCATTTTTGATATTTCGAAATATCACAACACTTTTTTAAACTAAGTGATTAATTAATAACAAATAATCATTTCAAACTGTTTGTATTTTAAAATTGTATTTTGTTCAGGGTGATTGGTCACTCACTGTTTTCACAACCTTCAGTTGTTACACCCCACTGTTTGTTATGTAAAATAGACAGTTCTGTTGTCATTGTTGCTCTATAACATAAGGCAACCAGTATTCAAATGTCGTTTTCTTAACACTATTTTTTCTGTACCGTAGCTTTAAAACTTGAACAACTTGCCACATGCATACAGCGTGATGTTGTATAGTTTTAAAGCCACTACAGTATAGCTTGTGGGAAATATATTTATTTGTCCTGCATCAAAGTTAACTCGTTCAGAGTGGCCTAAATTACAAATTCCAAACGTTTCATTTTGTCTATTGCTACAATAATCGACAGCAATGTTATTAAAACATGACACGTGATGGTTTTGTGTTTAAGCATTTCTTAATGGAAATCTTTAAATTAAACAAGGGAGGGGTGTCACGGCTGTAGTCCCTCCCCCTTAAGGGCGCTCCAGCCCTTTCATTTCGGACTTGATTTTGTGCACCTGTCCCCTGTTTCAGCCTGTTCCCAGTCCTCCTTAAAAGCCAGGTGCTGACATTAATCCGGGCTCTGCATCTGATCTCCGTATCATGCGAGTCCGGGACCTGGAAGCGCCTGGTCCCGTTAAGGTTTTATTCTCTGTTCCTGTTCCCTCCTCCGCCGGTTCTGACCCGGTTCTAGTTTTTATCTAGTTTGTTTTGGATGGACCGCCCGGTTTTGGACTTTTGCTTTCATTTGGATTCCCCCCTTGGATTTCCTCCCGGATTGTTTGCCTCAGTCACACCTCTCCCGAACACCAGCGGACCAAGGACATGCCCCCTGTTTTGATGCCCGTTTCCTGCATGGCTTTTCCCCCAGTGTTTCCTCACTACTCCAGATTGTGTCATCCGCATAGGGTCTCGAAAGAACTGTTTCCTTTCAAGGGGGGAATGGTTATTTTTTTTTACAACTGCAGTAATCGGAGAACATCATATCATCACGATGGGCAAACGTTTTTTTTATTTTTAAAAATTAAATAAAAAATAAGATACAATGACTTGTTCCTGACTAACTCAAACATTGTGTGACTTTAAAAGCTGTAAGAAATGGTTTAGAAAGTTAAAAAACACTGATGATTGAATGATTGAATATCTCTTGATAGTAATATTAATATGGAGTCGTGTAACTAAGCAGCTAAAATATCACAAGGGGGACATTTTGGAAACATTTGACGTTCGTTTATTAAAAATATATATCTATTATCCTTATAGTGGCAATAGGCAATGGACTGTCATTTAGTGCGCTGAACCCAGGTGGTTCAAACCCCGATCAGAGAATTACTTTGTTTCTTACATAGCCGAATATATACAAAATGGTCCACTATTATAGCTTGTTGTTGGCTACGGTGTGAGTGTATTTGGATGAATTATTATAAGTGATGGTTTCGTGATTTAGGATTTCTTTAAGTTAAAGGAGGGAAAAAAGAGGGCTGTACTGTCACCGTGCTGCAAGGAGCTTGTACCATCTGTATGCCTGCCGTTCGTTACAATATAAATGACTGCGGACGAGCTGTAAACTGAAGAGTTAGAGAAAACACTTGAGTCTTTTCTTTTCAGCTTGGAATTTAACCTTTACAGCAATACTTTGGCTATATTTTTTACATAGCTTGATGAGTAAAAACAGATTGGATTAATAACTGGAGTAAGAAAAGAAATTTCCCACGTACTTTGAAACCATACGGCTTTGGAACAGCGAGCGACGAGACCCGGCTGGGAGGGGGGTGGTATTTTGCTTTTATTGCGTGAACTGTATTCGCCACAATACTATAATGAGTCCCTGAGGCATACCGTTCAAATTTCGGAATTATAAAAAAAAAAACCTTTGTTGAGTTTGCATGAGAGATAAAAGTACCTTTTGAGAAGTTGTGTACTGCTTGCAAAGAAGCTGATTTTGACAACTAATTTTGCTTGAAGAATTTTAAATTTGTCTGTACTGTAGCTTTATTTAATTGAGCAGAAAGTCACCTTGCTCTTACAAGCGGCTCTGTTAAGCAGAGTTTGTGTTAACACATAACTCCCTTTGAAATAGTTTGAATCAACTTGGTCTGTCGGTGAAAAAAATGACCGCGGGCACTCCCCCCTGTGCGAGGTGACAATGTGGGAAACAGGTTTTTTATTTTACTGGGAGTGTGCACATTGAGTGAGCACTGGGGCGTACAGTGAGACTAACAGAGTGAGATTACTGAGATGGATAGTTTTAGTAAATATGTTGACAAATATCTGAATTTTTGCAAGATCAAATTGTATCCAGCTGTGAATCAGCTACGTGACCTTGCCCCTGTGGAATTGTGGGGAAAAAGGTTTAGTGAGCAGTGTAGTGACATTAGAGTGTTTTAATACACTGTACAGTATAGCAGTATAAAGCAAGTATGTATTTCTTTAATGTTTGCTATTCTTACATTTTGTGTTCAGTTTGCTTTTGTGTTAGCTGGTGGGCAAACGTTCGAGGTGAAAATTCTTCCACAGGGAGTGTACCTTTAAAGCAGAGAAGACCGCACCAAACATTTTGGCTTTGTATGTCGCTCAAGCCATTTCTCTTTGACACTTTCTTTAGTCATAGAGATGAGTAGATGCCTCCCCCTTCCCTCTGCCTTCCTCACCTGTTCCCATTTTTAACCATTCTGTGTCAGAATCACAGCGGGTGAAAGAGAGTAGGGAGAGACAGAAAAAAGGTGAACCCTGGTGTTTGGATAGTCAGATTCAACATATGTTTGAACACAGTCTTACAAATTAATGTTTTTACAAGATGTGGAAGTGCAGCAATTTATCACAGTGTGAATTTAAATACAAATTATTGATTACTAATAGTTTATGCACCTGAAGCCTGACTTTATTAGATGTATATAAAATATTGAACTGTGACATAACAGTCAGAAATGGAATCGGCGCCGCCCCTTCTCTGACTGAGCTCAATGTGCAGTGCACTGTTTTCTCAACCACCTGCTAATTCGTTTCAAACCACGGGAAGACAGGATAATGTGATTGTACAGTATCTGTAAGAAATGTGTGTTGTGTTTACAAAATTAAAGTGTTTAAGATGTTTAATTAAAAAGTTATAAAAAACTTACGTCTTACACAAAAGAGAAACAAGGAAGAAAAATCACCCGATTTTTGTGGATTTAGTTTTTTATGGGTTTTAAAACCATGCAATATCTATTATACAGTATATGCATCCTGTACAACGTCTTTGATTTAAAGCGATATCTTTTGTTATGCTGCCATCATTAAGAACCACAGTGTTTCATGAGAAAATACTGCTGTTATTTAAAGTTGTTGGGTGTGTTGGAACTCCATTTTAATTGGTCTTATTAACATGACATCTGGAAAAATTAACTACTAAGCTTGGCACGTGTCACTCAACAAGTACAGGACCTATAATGAAATTTAAAAACAAGTAGGTCTAAGCTTTACCGTCAACAATCAAGACAGAACATAAAACAGTATTCGAACTTTAAATATTGTATCGACCGCGGTTTTCGATACGGAATGGAGCAGGCGTGGGACTCAGGGAATGGGGTTGAACAACACATTTATTAACTCGAATCAGGAAAGGTACACACACAGGGACAGGGGTTACAGCGCTGCACCTACACTAACACACACACACACACACAAAGGGAAGAGACTGTATCTCATCCTCCGTCCCAATATATACAGTCCGGTAGTCCCTAGGTGCTGTTCTCAGCCCGCCCTGCGTGGCGCTACATTGTAATACATGTTACATGTTTCACGTTCTTTATGGAATTTAAATACAATTTAAACCCCACCCCAAAAGTAATAAAAGAGGGATTATTAAAACATTTGACTTATGAATATGAAATTTACCCAAGATGACTAATAAATTCATTACTATGTAAATAAATGTTCTTTTTTCGAATTTCCTCTTATATACAACAAAATATCAAAATCCTTAATATAAAATCTTAGTATTCTATATTTCCAGAAAATTCACATGACATGAATTGAATGTGCTCTGTCTGGCGATCTCTGTCGCTAAGGTTGGCGCAAGAGGTAGCAAGTTTAAGAAGCACTTAGTGATTAACGAGTGATTCGGGAAGCACGTAGATTACGAAGGATTTAACGTTCTACTTTAGTTACGATAGGTTTTGGGAAACACTCGTAAATTAACAATCGATCTTAAGAGCGAGTTTATGATGTTCTTAGCGCTACAATGCTTTTGGGAAACTTACCTCAGGGCAGGCAAAAAGTTTCCAAGTAATCGCGGGTGAATGAGTGAAATTGATGCAGATGTTTACAAAGAAAGTGTACTACTGTGATAATTTAAGCTATATGAATGTAATTATATTGTTATTGTTTTCTTTAGATATGCGATTCCATATTATATTCCCTATTAATCAAATTCTAAAAAGTATGCGTTTTGTATGGCGATAACGAGCACAAATATTCATAGAAAAGAATAAAACATTATAACTCTTTATGACATATATAAACTTAACATAGTCAGAAGGAGCAAGTAAAAACTTTTCCAAAATAACCATAGTATGTAACCGAATGAAAGACTCTGAGGCTTAAAATGTTTAGGGAGAAATGGAATACTGGTGTGTATTTTTTTATTTAAACTACCAATACCAGCCCTATACAGTTTACATAATATGTTTATGTTCCTAAATTAATATAATTTACAGTATGACCTTCAGATGCATTATGCTCCTCTTCTTTTTATGCTCAGCTACTAAAATTTCCCATTAGTTGTAAAATTCTATATTAATATTCAATATTAAGCGGATTTAAACATGCACAGTAAAGAGATTTAATTAAGCAATCGTTTCACTAACAACCAATGCACCACGAGTGCCACCTGTCGGTCATTTTGGCCAGCCAATCACGTACTGCGATATAATGCGTAGAACTGCAGACAATTTCGCATGGTACGGGGTTGTACCATGCATTTTGAATGACTGCATCTGTAAGTGGAATGGTTGAAAATGTTAACAAACCTTAGCATTTAAAAGATGTAAAACTATTTTGTGTTGTACATGATGAGTGTGTGGAAATAAACAATGTACCGCCATTATCCATTCTTGTGAGATACTGTGACTGAGATGGAATTTGAGAAGAGCTGTGCTGCCCAAAACCATTGTATGGAAGATGTAGCTAAAATGCTTATTTATCATTTTGAGGAAAGAGGAAATGACAGAAATGAAATATTTTCTGTGACGACAGACAGTGCCCCTGCCATGGTAGGAAAACGGATGTGATATATGATGAATCTTTCTAGTATTTCTCCAAAGCATGGATGTCAAGTCACTCAAAGCACTGGGGTTTAAGCCTCTAGGTACAGAAAACACATTTGCTGTTTTCCAGGGACAATCTTGCATGTCTGACAACTACTTTGTATCTAAGGTACTTTTTGGACCTTCTTCCTGAAATGTAACTTAGTTGTTTAAAATGTTAATGCTGTGTTTAACTTAAAGCTTTAATAGCTTGGATGAATGGCAGCTCCTCAGCAAAATGATGAAGAAGTATCCATCTAAATTAAAACATTACATTTTATAGCTAATATAACTCAAGGTATTATGAAAATAAGAAATTGCTACAATGTTAATAAATTAAACACATATAAAATAATTTGTAATGTGAAGTCATTTTGAGGGTTTGAGACATATAGAATGGAACCCTGACTTTAAACCAGTTAAAAGAGGAATGGTTATTCAGGTGCTTAAGATTATACTCTCAGCTAATATAAATGCATTGTAGAATTTAAACTCCATCAACATCACTGTACATAAACAATTATCCAATTCAGGGTCACAGTTACCCAGAGCCTGTCCCAAGAAGCACTGGATACAAGGCAAGATTGAACCCTGGACAGGATGTCAGTCCATCAAAGGGCACACACTCATACCAGTGCCAGCTTTCCCAGAAGTCTATTAACCTGCCAGCACGTTTGTGGACTGTGGGAGAAACCTGGAACACCTCCCAAACATGGAGAGAACATACAAACTCCACACAGACAGCACCCCAGATTCAAAAGAGATTCAAAGATGAGAGATAAACAAATTAAGAAATATTGCAAATCTAACTCACTTCCATAGCTACTTCCTTTCAGATGTATATAAAATATTAGAAAGAATGGAGGAATATAAGAGATAAGGGTAAGATTCAAGTGGTAAATGGAGGCTGGCACTCCCATAGCAAAAGAGGAATCTAAAAATATTCAAACCTGCATAAATCCAATAATTCACCTTCCTGGAGAGAATCAATAAAAACTGGTTAAACCTGCACAGACCTAGTGTTCAAATCTGCAAGGACTATATGATTGAAATTTCTAGAAGAAAATTCCCTACAGAATTAAAAATCAACAACATATACTTTACATATTTTAAAAAAATGGGAAAGGTTGTGTTTTGACCATCTCAGTTATCAGATGTTTACAAAGAGCCCAAAGACAAGAACTTGTATAAAATTAGACAAAAAAATCCTTTTTATATGTCACCCTTCTTTTTTGTTTTGTATTTTCTAGCTGTTACATTTTGATGCATGTGAAAAACAGAATGCTGTGAGACTTAACATATCTAAAAAAAACAATAAAAAGAAATCACCAGTGTTCACTTACTCTAGTTTTGTTAATTTACAGTTGGGATCCCTCTGAGCTGCAGACAGCAGTTCCACTCCTGAATCCCCCAGGTTATTGAAACTCAGATCCAGCTCTCTCAGACTGGAGTGTTGAGACTGAAGAGCAGAGGCCAGATCTTCACAATATCCCTCTGTTAGTCCACAGAACCTCATACTGCAGACAAAAAGACAGGAGCACAGCTGAACATCTGCACAGCTCATCCACATCCTTCTTTCCAAATCTTCACTCCAACACCCAGCTCAGCAGTAATATACAACATCATGTCATTATCATCGCAGAGTATCCATGGATGAGGATGATGAAGATAACAGCTGCTTCAAATTCTGGATTCCAGAAGGAAGAAGAAAGATTAGAAAAAACTGTCAGCAAGGGAGACAGTGGGAAACAGGGAGACACACAGAGCTACAATGGTTGGAATAGGAAAATAGAATAAAAGACTTTGACTTTTAGCCATAATAGAAATTGCTTCACATTTTATGGTGTCTTGTTAAAGTTATACCTTTGGTTGTTATTCTTCACATGGTGTAATTAATACAAAATATAAATTAACAACACTGGAGTTAGAGAACTGGAGATTTTGATTGCTATTTGTAGATGTGTTGAGGAAAACAACACTCTCTTTTGAAGAAAATAAATAATTTAAACAAAAACAAACAAGATTATAACTATAACAACACGTAATCAAAATGTGAACCAATAAACAATCTCAATCAAAATCTGTCAGAGGAATCGACCGTGTGACCGCATCCACTTTGTACAAGTCAGGAAACTGAACCTCAGTACAAAACAGCAGGTCAAGAGAGAGCAAGTCTGTATGAACCAGAATTCTGCCTCAGACTTTGTCTGCCACAGGGGAAATCTTTAGACTTGGGATCCATCTGTACATTTCACTTGAATACCATTAATATTAATACAGTTGGACTCCATTGTCAATAGAGTACTGTACATTAGTTCTGTTAAAATTACTATTATAATGTGTGAGAGAGAGTCAATTATGTTTGAGAAAACAAATCAACTTTATTAGGGAGGCAGAGGTGCACATTTGTATTCCAATTGGGAGGGGAAAGACAAAGAAAAGACCCTCCCCCGACAAATTAACTAACTAAAAAAACAACTAGATAGGCTAGAACCGGAAAGGTGATCGTGCCTAACAATGAGGCCGTACCAAAAAAAAAGTCTTCCACCTCCTACTCATATCTACACTAACTAACCAAACCAAAAGCAAAGAAGAAAAGCACATAACATGTTTTTCCCCATCCCTAAAACATACCACTCAACTAACCTCATTCACCGTCTCTGATCTCTCACTATTCCCCCTTTTGCAGTCTCATTGTCCCCTTTTAAATGCTTGTGCCTCATTTGCTTAATTCAATATCTTAATTGACAGCACCCAGAGAAAAAGGAGAAAACAATTAGGGAAAAAAATAACTCTCCAGCTGAGGACCATAACAACCATTGATATAGATTCCAGGTTAGTTAGAAAACTAACCACATTTCTCCATGATACTGTGACGTCAAAGTGGTAGTGACCCCAACAAACAGTCGTGTCCACCACTCTAGACACACCCCTTACAGCCTGCTGGAGAACGTTTTCACATTTTTTGCAACCACTCTCCTTCAAGAATGGTGATGTGCTCACTCCCTCATGGCACCAGAGCATGGGGCACACATCCTCAGAGACCTCTGGGTCCCTGTCTCAAAGACTCTCAGGCCCTGAGTCTCCAGCTCACTGACTCCACTGGCCTTTCTATCTGATGTCCTC